TCTATGAGCGCCGCAGTCGCCAGGTGCAGAACAGGGAAGACCGAGGTGACATTAGGTCCCACAGGGAGACACGTGAGGGATGCAGTCTTCAGATACTTGAAGAAGAACAGGAAAGAGATATTCTGCACCGCCGTCAGGGAAATGAATTAAAGCATGAGCCGTATGAAAGCACCCCCTGTGAGCCCTCAGAATACCAAGAACAGAGGAACCACAGACTTTTACATGAAGATGAAGGGCGTGAACCAAACATGTGCCGGACACATGAGGATGAAGGACCAAAGCATGAGAGGAGCCTCTACCAAATCGTGGAGGTGGATAACCGAGACCTCTGCCCCCCTGGAGAGCAGGCATCTGTCACTGACATGAGGGTACGTTACATCCCTGGTGAGCCCGATGTACAGCCAGAGGTGCAGGTCCTCCCTCAGTCCTGCGATCCTCAGACCATTGCATACTTGATCCACGTGATCCAGAATTTGAACGATCCTGAAGCTACCACGTACGAGATTGTCTGCCAGCAGCCTCACAACGTGGGGCAGCCTATTTACGTGAAAAAGTGCTACGTGTCACCCCAGCCACCAGCAGTCCCATGTGACAGGAGCAGCCACCCAGAGCCACGACCACAAAGGGATGAGCGAGAAAAAGGGGAGCCCGAACCGCCACGGCAGGAGGGCACACCAGCTTCCAGCTCCCAGGATCTCGAGCCACAGGAGAGGTCTGAAACAGGGGTGAAGGAAGGAGTTCACCAGGCTTCTGCCTCTGAGCTGGATGGTGTTAGGGGTGACCCTTGTCAGGCAAAGACCAAGGAGGACGGGAGGCACAGCCAGCACCCCAAGATTCCCGACGCAGAAGAGAAGGAGCATCAGCCCCAGGGAGATGGATCAAAAGCTGCCAGGAAGCAGGTCCCATGGGAAACCAAATCCAGCTGCCAGGTGAGGGAGCATGAGGACAGGGAGGCCAAGAGCTGCCCACCTCTGCCCCAGGCTCCGGAGCCACGGGAAGCTTGCAAGACAGGCCAGCGAGCCGCTGAAGAGAGCCATCCCCAGCCACCCCAGAGAGATGAAGCGAGCCGCTGCCATGAGGATGCAGAGCTTCCCCCGCCAGAGAAGAGCTGCCAGCCACAGCAGGAGGAGAACAGCAAGAGCAGCTCCCGGCAAGTGAGCGATGCCCAGCCTCAACGGGAGGAGGAACCACGCCTTTGCACTAAGCAGAGCCAGGGTCCCCCTGGCCCCCCGGTCTCACAGGAGGCACCGAGCCATGCTGCTGGGGATAAAGCCAAGGCATCTTGAGGGCAAGTGCCTCCCCAGAGCTGGTGGGGCTTCTCTGAGTCTCTTTAAGGATCACTTCTGCTCTCTGCTTTCAGCTTAGGATGTTACCGTATGGTGGCACAGAAGTGTTCGACACAAAAGGGTTAATGGGGTGCTCTGTGAGGGTGTCAAGTGGGTTTGGGGTTTTTCCATCTAACAAATCCTCAGCAGCTAGGTAAGCAGAGAGTTACCCCAGGATCTGCAGCTTATACCTTCCTGCATTATGTCTATCCCCCTTAATGCAGCATTTAGTCACTTTTCTGCTCTAATTGGATTCCTTGGGTCTCTCTGTCCTTCATGTCCCTGTCATCTCTTCTACCCTGTGGCATGACTGTTCTGCAGCTCACTGCACTCACGTCTCCCTAGTCCCGTGACTGGCTCTCCTGTTAGTTTCTGCTGTGCAATGCAAAAATTACATAAAAATCCCAGTAGCTCAATCATACTCATTCGGGAGCCTGAAAATCCTCGAGGCTGGGAAAAAAAAAAACCACTTTTGTAGACTCAATGCTTTTCATTACACCTTTCTGCTCCCCTAACAGCTGAGCAGAATCCCACCTTCAGCCTCACAGAAGCTTTGAAGCAGCCGAGTTATGCTGTGGTTACTGCAGGGTAATGGTGGTGGGTGGGGGGGTCTCTTTCTTCTTCACACTCATGTATTGCATGAAAAATCAGAATAAATAGCTGATGACTGCACAGACTGCTGCCATCCTTCATCCTTGCACCTAATTTCTACAAGGGCCTCAGCCTGGTAGGAGGGTGTCCCAGTTCAGATTGCACATTCCACCTAATCCCAGGCACTTAATCCAGACAGGGGCTGCTGAAAACCCCACCAAATCCCCCCTACTACATGTCTAAAACCTCTAAAACCCTGGCCCTCACTACAGGTCTGCATGATTTCAGGGGTACCCACCGCAGCCTGCACGTGCTGTGATCTGACACCCACATGGGGACATGCGGATGTGCCTGTGTGCTACAGGGAGAGCCAACCAGCAGTGGCTTTGCTTGCTAAGAGCCATCCAGACGCACATTTTCCCTGCCACATGCATCCATCTGCCTTTTTCCCTGGGCTGTCCCATACCTGGGACCGCTCCTGGATCCTAGGGCAGGAGAGAGGCGGCAGCATGGAAAACGCACCAGGTCTCACACATGGTGCATGAGGCTGGAGATGGAGACATCCGTGACCCTCCCTGAGGAAAACCAGATTTTATTCACTTTTCTTTCCCTTGAGCAATAGAGAACAAATTCCCTCAGCAGCAGATGGTGCTGCAACGTTGCAGGAAGACAGAGAAGCGAGGACAACCCCAGCACCATCTGTGTCTTGCTCTTAAATGCAACCAGAGCCCGCTGGCTGGTAACTGGGCTGGCCAGGAGGAACAAGGGCGTCTCAGGTCCACACAGCCTGATGCAGCCTCAGGGGCAGCGCCCAGGGCTCCTCGCTCACGCAGCCACGGCCACCACCCTGTGATGGTTTGAACCCGGTGCCAGAGGCACTCAGGAGCGTCTGTCCCAGCCCGGGGCAGGTGGATGCACAGGGCGATGCTCTCAGCGATGCCCCCTTCGTGCGCGTGACAGTCGCACATCGTGGTGACAAACATATGGCGGCACAGATGGTCTGTCTGCAAACAGGGCCAAAGCCTTGACTGCAAACACACACAGCAGCAGCAAGGAACGGAAACCTCCTGAAATCCCCCACTGCAGCCAGGACGGGGCTGGGCCACAACCCCTTCTGGGATTTGCTCTTGCAACGGGGGAAATACCGCTTGCCCCTCTGACCAGCTCGTATTTTATTGCTGAGGGGGCACAAAAAGGAGTTTGCAAAATGCAGGTGGAAGCGCAAAATCCAAGGAGAAGAGCAGCACATTTCCTGCCCTCAGCTCCCAGGTTTGGAAAATCCTTTTGATTTACTTGGACTGAACTGTTTGCAGTTTGGGAGGGGTTGAATGGGGGTGGGGGAGGAAGTACTTTTTCCCCAGTGCATGGGAAAAAAAAGAGAGTTTAGGGGCAGGAAATTGGGGCAAGAAAGGAAAATATATTGGGGACAGTAGTCCCCCCGATTTGCTCCTTCCCTTTCTCCTGCTCTATGCTGAGGCACAGTCTCCAGCAGGATTTCCTAAAGAGCCCCGTCCCTGGAAGCTGTCCCAGATCCTGGAGCACATCCTGGCTCCCACGCACCGTGGGGACAGCCCCCCTTACCCCAACCTCTCTGCTCCAGGCTCCCCCTGAAGCTTTTGGGGAAACACGGCAGCGCCCAGGGCTGGGAGTCAAAGGGAAATCCGGCCCTGGGTGGGCGATTCTGCGTCAGCGCCGGTCGCAAAGGCGTGGAGACGGGTGCCGTAACCATGGGACGACTGCAAAACATGGGTAAACACCGCGCGTCCAAGCAGCTTCCCTCGCTCCCGGTGGATGGGGAGCGGCCGGGCAGCGCAGCCCCCTGTGCTGGTTTCTGAGCAGCACAAGCCCCGCAGCCCCCGCCCTCCCTGCCCTGAGCTATTCGAGCTCACCACTT